GTGAAATCAATAGTTTGTTCTCGTCACTCGAGAATAAGTGGTGTGAAATCAATAGTTTTTTCTCGTCACTCGAGAATAAGTGGTGTGAAATCAATAGTTTGTTCTCGTCACTCGAGAATAAGTGGTGTGAAATCAATAGTTTTTTCTCGTCACTCGAGAATAAGTGGTGTGAAATCAATAGTTTATTCTAACCACTCGAGAATAGGTGGTGTGAAAACAGTAGTTTGTTCTCGTCACTCGATGATAAGTGGTGTGAAAACAGTAGTTTGTTTTCGTCACTATAAAACATACTGAGGAGAGGTACTGAGAGTATTAGCTGTTTATCTTTTGTATGACTGAAATATCTGATCGATGACGGTTCTGTATCTTTCTGCTGAGGCTAATATCCAGTAATATCAGTAGTTTCTTTCTGTATATTTTCTGTTATACGTGACTGTTCTTCTCTCCCTGTATCTTTTCTATTAAATATGACTGTTATTTTTTTCTTCTCTCTCTGTGTATCATTTCTGTTAAACGTGACCATTCTTCTCTCTGTGTATCTTGTCTGTTAAATGTGACTGCTCTTCTCTCTCTCTGTCTGTTAAACGTGACTGTTCTTCTCGCTCTGTGTATCTTTTCTGTTAAATGTGACTGTTCTTTTCTCTCTCTCTGTATCTTTTCTGTTAAACGTGACCATTCTTCTCTCTGTATCTTTTCTGTTGAATGTGACTTTTTTCTCCCTCTCTGTATCTTTTTCTCTTAAACGTGACTGCCCTTCTCTCTGTGTATCTTTTCTCTTAAATGTGACTGTTCTTCTCTTTCTGTATCTTTTCTGTTAACTGTGATTGTTCTTCTCTCTGTATATTTTCTGTTAAACGTGACTGTTCTTCTCTCTCTCTCTGTCTTTTCTGCAAAATGTAACTTTTTTTCTTCTCTCTCTCTCTCTGTATGTTTTCTGCTAAGTGTGACTGTTCTTCTCTCTCTGTGTATCTTTTCTGCAAAATGTAACTTTTTTTCTCTCTCTCTCTCTGTATCTTTTCTGCTAAGTGTGACTGTTCTTCTCTCTCTCTGTATCTTTTCTGTTAAATGTGACTGTCCTTCTCTCTCTCTCTGTATCTTTTCTATTAAATGTGACTGTTCTCTGTATTTTTCTCTTTGTGAAATGTGATTATTATTCATTATATATATATTTCTCTTCTTGTGAAGTGTGACTGCTCTTCTTGTGAAATGTGACTGCTCTTCTCTCTCTGTATTTTTCTTCTTGTGGAATGTGACTATTCTCTTCTATCTACTATTCCAATCCCTGTGGAACGTGACATCAATTTAAAGTCAAGATAAATAATTCCATTTACATAAGACTCCCTTAAAATAATTTTTATTTTTTTTTATTTTTTGCTGCAGTTTCTCAAAGGAACCATAGGAAAACAACTAAACAGTTTAATTCTTTCGTAACGTTGATGTTTCGTTTTTTGAAGCTTCTTATATGAAATTAAATATTTATATAAAATGTTCTTTCCTCCGTACACGCGTGACTGCGTACACGTGCGCTTCTATTGATCAATCTCGTTGGAACTGCAAGATGGCTCTAGACATGTGACTTTGTAGCACGTGCTTAGCATGCATTATTTGTAATTATGCACGTGTTTCGTGCCTTCGATAATCCCATTTACTTCTCTACTTAAACCTCAAAGCTCTAGACATCGTTTCCATTCAACAGAAATTTCCGCCTGTTTCCTTTGACGTCATGTTTACGTCACGAGCTTTAATGCAAAATGCCATTCTGTATTGCACATAAATCGATCTTCTTCTCTGAGTTAACTGTTATAGCTTTAAAAGGAAAGCAAACCAATCTTCTGAGTTAACTGTTACAGCCTTAGAAGGAATGCACACCAATCTTCTGAGTTAACTGTCACAGCCTTAGAAGGAATGCAAACCAAATTTCTGAGTTAACTGTCACAGCCTTAGAAGGAATGGAAACCAATCTTCTGAGTTAACTGTCATAGTTTTAAAAGGAAAGCAAATCTATCTTCTGCGTTAACGTCACAGCCTTATAAGGAACGCAAACCAATCTTCTTCTGAGTTAACTGTCATAGTTTTAAAAGAAAAGCAAACCTATCTTCTGCGTTAACCGTCACAGCTTGCTCCATTCTTCATCATGTGATCGAGAGAACAGAAATTATTTCTCAAAATGTATATGTTTCATGCAATATTTTTGCGGTGTCAATTACTGTAGTAAAGAAAGAAACACCCGAAGTTGTATACAACATCAACCTGAAATTCCTAAAACATTATGGCTTTGAACATTTAATTTCATTTTCTGTTTTATTGATACAGTTTCATTTTGTTTATCCTTGTATCACAAGAGTTTCATGTACAGTTTTCTCGAGCAAGAATAATAAAGATGCAGAAATGAGTTAGTCATACGCTTATTCTCTTCTGTTGTCTTACTTGCTTTCACAAACACTGTCTTCATTTTCATTTAAAACTTGATCTGTTTGTCTAAGTGCTGTTGTTGATGGTGGCAGTTTCGTATTATGTCTATCAAAGCACTCTGTGTAAACCATAGTCTTGATGTTCTTTTATTTGGCGCGATTCTCCAGTTCGATGTACAGAAGACCAAGACTCGTGAATCGCAAACGCATTAATAGAACGAGAATATTGGTAGGAGTTCCAAGTAAGTGGTTCACACAGAATAGGTAGTAGTTTCAAGTAAGTGGTTCACACAGAATAGGTAGGAGTTTCAAGTAAGTGGTTCACAGAGAATAGGTAGTAGTTCCAAGTAAGTGGTTCACATAGAATAGGTAGTAGTTGCAGGTAAGTGGTTCACACAGAATAGGTAGTAGTTCCAGGTAAGTGGTTCACAGAGAATAGGTAGTAGTTCCAGGTAAGTGGTTCACAGAGAATAGGTAGGAGTTCCAGGTAAGTGGTTCACACAGAATAGGTAGGAGTTTCAAGTTAGTGGTTCACAGAGAATAGGTAGGAGTTCCAGGTAAGTGGTTCACACAGAATAGGTAGGAGTTCCAAGTAAGTGGTTCACACAGAATAGGTAGTAGTTCCAGGTAAGTGGTTCACACAGAATAGGTAGTAGTTCCAGGTAAGTGGTTCACAGAGAATAGGTAGTAGTTCCAGGTGAGTGGTTCACACAGAATAGGTAGTAGTTCCAGGTAAGTGGTTCACACAGAATAGGTAGGAGTTCCAAGTAAGTGGTTCACACAGAATAGGTATTAGTTCCAAGTAAGTGGTTCACACAGAATAGGTAGTAGTTCCAAGTAAGTGGTTCACAGAGAATAGGTAGTAGTTCCAGGTAAGTGGTTCACAGTTCGACGAGATCAAAAATCTGTGATGTTTTGTGTACTCAGAGTTTAAATATACTGTGTGAACCACTTACTTGGAACTCCTACCTATTCACTTCAGTTATAAATTACTGAAAACAATAATTATACTTTACTGATTGGATGCAAGAGGACGCTTTGTGCTATAATATTGTGTACTCTGTATCTTTTCTGTTAAATGTGACTGCTCTCTCTCTCTGGAACTATTCTTGCAGAGGTGGTGATATTCCTCTAGTTCTAACGCTAATAAGTAGTTGTGAAAGTCCTCTAGTTCTAACGCAAAGTAGTAGTGATATTCCACTAGTTCTAACGCCAAGTAGTAGTGAAAGTCCCCTAGTTCTAACGCAAAGTAGTAGTGATATTCCACTAGTTCTAACGCTAAGTAGTAGCAGTAATATTCGTCTAGTTCTAACGCTAAATAGTAGTAGTAGTAGTGATATTCCACTAGTTCTAACGCTAAGTAGTAGTGAAAGTCCTCTAGTTCTAACGCTAAGTAGTAGCAGTAATATTCGTCTAGTTCTAACGCTAAATAGTAGTAGTAGTGATATTCCACTAGTTCTAACGCTAAGTAGTAGCAGTAATATTCGTCTAGTTCTAACGCTAAATAGTAGTAGTAGTGATATTCCTCTAGTTTTAACGCCAATAAGTAGTGATATTCCTCTCGTTCTAACGTTAAGTAGTAGTAGTAGTGATATTTCTCTAGTTTTAACGCCAATAAGTAGTGGTATTCCTCTAGTTCTAACGCTAAGTAGTAGCAGTAATATTCCTCTAGTTCTAACGCTGAGTAGTAGTAGTAGTGATATTCCTCTAGTTTTAACGCCAATAAGTAGTGATATTCCTCTAGTTCTAACGTTAAGTAGTAGTAGTGATACTTCTCTAGTTTTAACGCCAATAAGTATTGATATTTCTCTAGTTTTAACGCCAATAAGTAGTGATATTTCTCTAGTTTTAACGCCAATAAGTAGTGATACTTCTCTAGTTTTAACGCCAATAAGTAGTGATACTTCTCTAGTTTTAACGCCAATAAGTAGTGATATTTCTCTAGTTCTAACGCTAATAAGGACTAGTAATAATTCTATATTTATCATGTTGATACACTACACTACAGATCTCAGGTTAATCAGAAGTTATACTCTTCCTTCAATTATGTGTGATTTGTAAAGTTTTAACCACCATCACCGTGATGTTCTGTTTAAACAAGTAACACATCTTTCATTGTAATTTGTAACGTTTTAACCACCATCACCGTGATGTTCTGTTTATACAAGTAACACATATATCATTGTAGTTTGTAACGTTTTAACCACCATCACCGTGATGTTCTGTTTAAACAAGTAACACATCTTTCATTGTAATTTGTAACGTTTTAACCACCATCACCGTGATGTTCTGTTTAAACAAGTAACACATCTTTCATTGTAATTTGTGACGTTTTAACCACCGTCACCGTGATGTTCTGTTTAAACAAGTAACACATCTTTCATTGTAATTTGTGACGTTTTAACCACCGTCACCGTGATGTTCTGTTTAAACAAGTAACACATCTTTCATTGTAACTTGGGACGTTTTAACCACCATCACCGTAATGTTCTGTTTAAACAAGTAACACATCTTTCATTGTAACTTGGGACGTTTTAACCACCATCACCGTAATGTTCTGTTTAAACAAGTAATACATCTTTCATTGTAATTTGTGACGTTTTAACCACCATCATCGAGTTTCTTAGCTATGTTTGAGGCCAGTTTTGTGGATGTTTATATTTTAGTATTCGCTACAGTTACAGGAACTTATCAAACTATTGTTCACTTGAGTTTTACCAAAGGTCCTGTCACAATGACGTCATCAATTTAAAACTGTTCAGTCAGGTTTTAGATCTGTCGTAATGTTTTTCAGAGAAACGGATATAGTTATATTTCGTGTCGGATATAGTTATGTCTCCTGTCGGATATATTTATGTTTCGTGTCAGATATAGTTATGTCTCGTGTCGGATATAGTTATGTCTCGTGTCAGATACAGTTATGTCTCGTGTCGGATATAGTTATGTCTCGTGTCGGTTATAGTTATGTTTCGTGTCGGATACGGTTATGTCTCGTGTCGGATATAGTTATGTTTCGTGTCGGGTATAGTTATGTTTCGTGTCGGATATAGTTATGTTTCGTGTCGGATATAGTTATGTCTC